TGCTGTAGTCCAAAAGGAGCTGTTTGATATTCTCGTCCTTTTTAGAAAACATAAGTATGTCCTTTTAACAGATATTAAACAAATGTACAGAATGATTTTGGTACATCCAGATCATTGCCAATTACAAAATATTTTGTGGCGAGAGAAAAATGGCAGTTTGCAATGTATACAACTTCAAACTGTAACATATGGTTTAAGAAGTTCTTCTTTTTTGGCTACCAGGTGTTTGGTAGAATTAGCCCGAACTGAAGGTAAAAACTATCCTTTGGCTGCACAGGCTCTTCTTAATAACACCTATATTGATGACATTTTGTGTGGTGGTGATACTATTGAAGAAACAATAAAATTAAAAAACGAGCTTATAGCGTTACTAAAATTAAGGTCCTTCGAGTTGCACAAATGGTGCTCAAACAATTTACATATTTTAAATGATATTCCTAAGAATAAACAAAATTTTGATGAAATTAATCTTAGCAAAAATGATTTGACAGTAAAGACATTGAGATTAACTTATGACACAAAAACAGATAATTTTAAATTGAATTGTCCAAAAGTGGATGTAAATGAATGTGTAACTAAAAGACAAGTTCTGAGTTTTATTTCAAAATTTTATGACCCCTTGGGATTAGTAGGCCCAGTTTTAGTAGCTGCAAAAGTAATTATGCAAAAACTTTGGTAAAATACGGTTAAATGGGATGCTGTGATGCCTAGTAATTTACTTGATAATTGGAAGAATTTCGTTACAAGTTTAATGAGCATGCCCACAGTAACTGTCCAAAGAAATTTATACTTTACTGGTGCCTTTCATATTGAAATAGTTGGGTTTTGTGACTCTTCTTTGATTGCATATGGAGCTGTAATTTATGCCAGAACTATATTTAAAAATAAAGTACATGTAAATTTGATTTGTTCCAAATCTAGTGTTCCTATAACCAAAAAACTAACTGTGCCAAGACTTGAGCTGAACAGTGCTTTGTTGCTTTCAAAATTGTCTCACAAGGTTTTTGAACTGTTAAAAGATAAAGTCAGCAAAGTATTTCTATATTCAGATTCAAACATTGTCTTAGCTTGGATAAAGTCGGAACCTTTAAAATTGAATCCCTATGTTGCTAATAGAATTCTTAAAATTCAAGAAATGACATCTGAATTTAAATGGTTGTATATAAACACTAAGGAAAATCTAGCAGATTGTCTTTCTCGGGGTATTGAACCTCTTGAACCTCTAACAGCCTTTGGTTTAATGGTCCTAAATTTCTTTCAAATATTAAATTTTTGCATGCTAAAATTCAATTTTCTATTCCAGATCATTTGCCTGAATGTAAGGTTGTCACTTTTGCTAAGGTTTAACCAGAATCGTTTTTCATAAAATTTTCTAGCTTAACATAGTAGCTTATTGCCTACGATTTGTAAATAATACAAAAAATAAAAATAAAAGGTTTACTGGAAGTTTGACAGTTTCAGAACTGGATAATAGCCTTAAAACCATTATTAAACATGAACAAAGTTTTCATTTTTTTGATGAAATAAAATGTCTTACCAACAACACAGCAGTTAAGTCTAATTTAAATTCTTTATGTCCATTCTTGGACTCTGAGGGACTGTTGAGAGTTGGTGGTAGACTCCAGAACTCAAATATTTCGTTTAATAAAAAACATCCTTTAATCCTTCCCAAAAACAATCATATCACTGATCTTTTAATTCACAGAGAGCACTTGAGACTTTTACATGCAGGTCAAAAACAAGTTTTAAGTTCATTAAATCAAAATTTTTGGATTGTTAGTGCTACTAAAGAGATTAAAAAGATTTTGCACAAATGTGTAACCTGCTTCAAATTTAAGGCCAAGTGTAGTGAACAGCTAATGGGATCTCTCCCAGAGCAGAGGGTGCGTTCAGCGAGAGTTTTTCAGAATGTTGGTATAGACTTCTGTGGTCCATTCCAAATTAAACAGTCACGTATTAGAAAGTCTGTAATGACAAAGGCATATATAGCATTGTTTGTTTGCTTTTCTGTGAAGGCAATTCATATGGAGTTACTCTCTGATCTAACAACAGATACTTTTTTAGCTTCATTAAAAAGGTTCATTTCTAGAAGGGGTAAACCATCCAAAATATTTTGTGACAATGGTGCCACCTTCAAGGGAGCAAACAATCAAATACAAAAACTTCTAAAAGACAATGTCAATTTAAAAAATTTTTGCCTTGATGATAAAATTGAATTTTGCTTCATCCCAAGTTATTCTCCAGTATTTGGAGGTCTATGGGAAGCTGGGGTAAAAAGTGCAAAACATCATATCAAAAGAGTGATGGGAAATAATATTTTAACATATGAGGAGTTTAATACTTTGATTATTCAAGTTGAGAAAATATTAAATTCAAGGCCTCTCATGCCTATTAATAATGATTCAACTGAAATAGATTATCTCACACCCGGTCACTTCCTAATAGGTGCTCCTTTGACAAGTTTCCCTGAAACTAATTTAACAGAGATTCCTCAAAATAGATTAAAATTTTGGAGGTTGTGTGTTCAAATGCAGCAGCATTTTTGGCAAAAGTGGTACCAAGATTATTTAACGCAACTTCAAAACAGACCTAAATGGAGAACATCGTTGCCAAATTTACAAGAAGGTATGCTTGTACTTGTAAAGGAGGACAACGTTGCTTCTTTTAGGTGGCCTATAGCAAGAATTATAAAAACTATTCCTGGTAAAGACAAAAAGTTAAGAGTGGTGGAAGTAAAAACTAAAAATGGAACATACTTGCGCTCTGTTACTAAAATTGCTGTTTTACCCATTAACGATGAATAAATTTATTATTTTTTTTTAAAGGAAAAAGGGGGATTTAAAATTTCAACATTAAATTAGTATCTAGTTTTGTTATCAAAACCAAGGCCCCCCAGCATGTTGGCGAAATAAATTCCCAACACTATATTTTAATATATTTTATGTTTTATGTAACACAATATGTTCTATGTCTTAAAATTCCAACGCTTGCGCGTTGTCAAAAAAGGTGTTCGTTATAATAAAAATGTCGGTCTGACAAAATTGACTTCTGGTCATTCATATAAAATTGTAATTATTAAAATTAAGTTGTAAAAACATTAGTGGCTCTTCCTTGTAGGAATCCAGAAGTTTAGTGACATTGTGTTTATGGAAATAAAGGTTTTTTTTTTGGAAAAAGTTGCCTAAATTATTCCTAGACTCCAAACCAGCGAAGAAACTTCTTTAATGTGGTAAAATTCCAACAACAATAGTAAGGCCACGTAAAAGTTAGATAGACGATGTAAAGAAAAATCCTAAGACCATAAACATCAGAAAAAGAAAAGAAAGTAAAAAAAGTTGTTAAACAGGCCAGGGCCCACAAAGAGTTGTAGCGTCATGAGAAGAAGAAGAAGAAGAGGAAGAAGAAGTTTCACAACAATATTCAGAAACCGATATGGACCTACCGTTATTCAAAATTTTAAAAACCTAAATCGATAACTAAAGCGAACTAATCCTCAGATAACTGATCATCAAGATTTTTTCAATTACCTATGTATCTTAAAATAGTATATTACATAACGAGAGTTGTAAGAAGCTTATTACATGCGAGTAAAAAAGTTGCGCGCGAGCCGCGTAGCGGCGATCGCAGTAATTTTACAAGCATGTAATAAGCTTACAACTCAAGTTGTGTACTATACTTTTTCTACCATTATTTTCGTTTATATATATATATATATATATATATATATATATATATATATATATATATATATATATATATATATATATCCGGTTTTTTAGGCGTTACGCCCGTCCGGTAGGGATCTATGGAGGAGTATCACCGAGCCGCAAGCCCTTATCTCTTGCCGTACTGCTCCACCATAGGCCGATCCGAACCCAGCATATCCTAGTCTAAGCCGCAGATTCATCTAAAATTTTAAACTGCTGCGTTAGACTATTTGTTTTCTGTACACCGAGCTTGGGCTCGACCCACATCCACTAAACCATTCGACAGTGAAGCGAATGAGAGGCAGCCGCACAGCCCGCTGAGCTATCTGACCTTTATAACCTTATCGTTTATAAAAATAAAAATTAAATTACCACTATATTTACACTGACAGATTAATAATTTTTAATCTGTCAAAATAACGTCTGTTAATTCGTTTCCATGGTAACTCGACCAACTGACTTACAAGGCTTATGTGATATTACACATTTTTATAAAACTGAAGCGTAATTTTTTTTATTACGTGCTAGTCATTACGTGTCAGTATCTGTTATGATGCATTTACTTAGCATCCAAATAGTAGGTAATATACAATTTACTAGTAAGGGAGTAGAAAAAGTTAAATACCTAACAATAAATTAAAATTTACTTTAGTTGTAATATTGGCTCCTAATCGCATCCGTAGTCCAACTATAAAAATATACTGGTAACATTAACCTATCATTGACTAGTTGACACTGCGTTAATTTTCGAAAATTTATAAATATCACTTGTCAAATGTCAACATTTCAAATATTGACATATAAAAGTTCCTAGAGAACGTGACTACAGTTTTCAGAAGTAGGCAGATTCACATGCGCAGAGACAATACTTTAGATTTGAAAATATTATTGCCAATTAAAGGGGACTTATTATATATATATATATATATATATATATATATATATATATATATATATATATATATATATATATATATATATATATATATATATACATATATATATATATATATATATATATATATATATATATATATATATAAGTGGGGTATAATCTAATTAAGTGAAGAACAATGACTGTTGGTACTATACTACCGATATTTTTCAAGTACACTATGACTAAAAATATTAAATTTACTACTAGTTTACTATTTATTTAGTCACGCACTTGAAGAACTTCTTTAAAAGTATCTGTTTTGTACATTCGATGTTTTATAATATTCAATGTACATTTATGTAATTGTTTTTAACATGGAATTATGTACCACTTCTGTAGCGCCATCTGCAACTTACCGTTAATATTACTGGAAGCGTCGTTATCGTCTTCGTCAGTATCACCACCGGTATTTCCTTTTATTCTGCCGTTTCGAACGCCGTTAGCTACGGCGTCTCGCTTCGAACTGGAAGCCGCGACGCCACCTCCGCCGTTCTGTGTAATTTTCTGATGGTCGTCGTCATCGTCGTCGTGCTGACCATTGCCGTTGGGTGCGCCATCTGTGGTCAAGTCACCTCCTTCTTGTCCTGCGATTTCTTTCTCATTACCCTCTGGGTCATCGACGTCTTCGTATTGCTGAAGTCGGCTGCCGGCGCGAGAAGGAGCTACTGACTGAAATAAAAAATTTTATTGATAAAATGTTTAGAAATAACATCGACGAAGAAGTTTGCAGCAAATATTGCGTGCATGTCTACTCTCATAAATAAATGCATATATTAAATTTAATAAACTGTTTGGACTACTTTTTAACAATAAGTATTTATCCAGTACCGCTATGAATTTTAAAAAAGATAAGTTTTTACAATAAGGATAAAAATTTACACCTTGTTTATTTGTGTTTGATTTTAACTAATTGTCCCAAATTTGTATAATAATGATTTTTAAAAATCCCAACCTTAACAATTTTTCACCCAACTATAGGAAAATACTGTAATGTACAGACAAAATTCAAGTAACGAAAAAATAAATATAGAAATTAAAAATTCGTGATGTTAAAAGGAAATTAATGGTGGAAGAACGTTACAATAATTTGTATTTATAAAAATGGATCGCTAAAATGTTTTTACGTTTACAAAATGTTTAATACATTTAAATTTTTTCGTGTCAAGATGGATTTGAGGTCGTCTGGAATTCATGGAAAACATGGGCAATCAAGCAGGAAGTGTTGCACTGTCAATGAAGTGGAGCAGTTATTGCAAATTGGCGGCAGATCTTTACTGATTAAAAATTTGTGTGTCACAGCAGTATGACCAATTCTTAAACGATTTATAATTACTTGATCTCGTCTACTTGTGGAGTTATTCAAAGAGCTGTTCACCTTTGGGCATATTGGGTTTAATTTGGTTACTGAATTTTCCCAGTAATTTTGCCAAATGTTATTACAATGATCTTTAATCAGATGTTTCATGTCGCTATAAGGATATTTTGTAATTTTTGTAGTATCTTCTAAGTTGATACGGCTTGTAGTTGGTAGTTGATCTGCTTTTTCATTTCCCCAGATTCCAGTATGCGATGGTACCCAAATGAAAGCTGTGTCCTTTCCCATGGAATGAGGTATTTCTAATTTATTTTTTATTGCTTGTATAATGGGATTTATTGTATAAATTTTCTTTAATTTTAATAAAGCATTAAGTGAATCTGTAATGATGACGCACTACATCTTGTTACACGTTTTGAAAAAAGTTAAGGCTTTTAATATAGCTGTGGTTTCGCCTGTGAGTATACTACAATTTGTAGGTAAGTGTATGCTGTAGTAGTTTTCTTCATCAGAATAGTAAGCAGCAGCATGTCAATCTGGGCTTTTAAAGGCATCGGTTAAGAGTTGTAGGTAGTTGGGCTAATGTGATATGATTTCTGCAAAAAGATGTTTAATTATGGAGAAGTTTGTATATGATTTGGGATACTTGCTAAGTGTTAGGTCAATGGTAAGCAGGCGTGTTGTCCATGGAGAGAAGATTGCATTTGTATATAGCAATAAACTAAATTGATCCATGTTAAAATTTGTGACTTTTATTTTTTCTATTAAAGGAATACAGTTTGTTGTCTTTTTAAAAGAGAGGATGCCAGGATGGAAAATTTGAGAGAATAGAGGATTATGTTTTTGAATTGAAATTTTGGCAATATATTTAAGTGATAATTGTTGTCGCCTTATGTTTAGAGGTGGCTCTTTAGCTAGAACTTGTAAACTACTAGTGGGACTAGTTCTAAATGCACCAAGTGCTAATCTTACAGCTGCAGATTGAATACCGTTAAGTTTTTTAAGGTAGTTTTGCTTGCAGAGTTATAACAAATGCAACCGTAATCTAGTTTACTCCGAATGAGTGATTTAAAGTTTATTAATATTTTAGTATCTGGGCCCCAAACTTTATTAGACATAATTTTGAGTATATTTAAGCTAGATTGACAGGAATGTTGTAGATTATTGATATGCAAGTCCCAATTTAAGGTTCTGGTAAAAGTTAAACCTAGAAAATTAAATTCTTCTGATTGTTTTAATGCTAAATAATTTAAAGTTAGGTAAGTTGAATACCGAAATCTGTTTTTATTAAAAATTATGTAATGTGTTTTTTCTGTAGAGAAGTAAAACCCAGTTTTTAACGTAAAATTTTCAATCCGAGTTAAAAAATTTTGTAAAATTTTAAAAATTTTAAAAAATTTTGTACAATTTTTTAACTCTGAAAATTATTTGATTTAGTATAAACTACGATGTCGTCAGCATAAAGACTGGCTTTAATTGGTGCTCTAGTTTCATCAATAACACTATTGATAGCAATTAGGAGTAATGTTGGACTTATAATGGAACCTTAATTGATTCCATTATCTAACGTCTTTGTTAAACGTTTAAGGCCATTTATCCTAATTTCTATTGATCGATTATTTAAAAAATTATTTACAAATGCTCGTATGTTACCTTGAATCCCGTTATCGCTTAGATTTTTCAAAATGCAGTGTCTCCAATTTCTCTCAAAAGCTTGGTTGATGTCAAAAAATAATAACAATCAATTTTTGGTTGTTTGCAAAAGCTTCATTAATTGAGGTTTGTAAAGCAGGTTATCTGGGTTATCTGACGTCGATCTACCTCTTCGAAAGCCACTTTGATAATGGGAAAGAAGATTATCATTGGACGATACAGGTGAACGGCGTTATGCATAACTCGACCAAGCGCCAAAACATAGTTTTGAGATAAATGGGTTCAAAGTTTTTCGTTTCTTAAAAATACATTTATTAATATATTTGCACAAAATTTTAGCAGCAGAATGATCACGTACAACTATTTTTGGCTGCAAAGTTTCAATATAATCGCACCTACCATATTCTAGAAAAAAAAAAATAAAATGGCGCTTGGTCTACTTATGCTTTAAATATATTTCAGGAAGTTTAGTCGTTATACATTACTAGACCAACTACCATTTATGTCATTTGGTCTATTAATGCAAAACAAAATACTGCGATAGGGCTATTGTCATCACTAAAATAAAACTAGTATTTTTAAAATTTTTATGTTAAACGTATATTGCTATAACATAAAAACTATAATCATTGAATATATTTTTTTTACCTTTTATTGCTCTAAATTTATTTTACCATTCAATAGTGTTAATTCTAATGCAGATAAAATTATATCAATAAAAAAATTTAGTTATACAGAGTTTTAAAAAGAGGAAAACTAAAGAAAACCATTTTAATAAAAAAACATTTTTAATCTAAACATTGGAAAGAATCATTACAAAAAAATACCAAGAAAAATATACAGTTTGTTAGATTGCTAACTTTATTGGTCATCTATTGGAAAATCAAGTTCACCATTAAATCCTTCAATGTCATCTTCCACATCATTGTTACTAAATAAGGACCTATACACTGGTTTTGCATCCAATGGTATAAATTGCAGTAAAGATTTTAGATCGTCTAAATTTGGTTTAGAAATAGGTTTACCTTGTGGCCAGAGTTGAACCAAGTGTTCACTAAAATTGCGGAGATATTGAATAATGGGTCTTCCTTTTCCTTGTTTTTTAGAAATATCTATTTCTATGAAAGTATCCTGATTAAAGTCACTTTTCATTAAAATAGTACGAGGTTTTTCTTTTTGAATGTTAATTTCCCTTGTTTTGAGCCAACTCACCTTACCATTTGTAACATCAGTTTTACGATTGGTAATTTGTTTTTCCAATATTTCTGTTCCCACGAACTTTTCATTTGTCATTCTGTGCACAACTAAAGGATTTTTTTTTCGACATAATTTCATAATTTCGATGTAATCATTTACTGTATACAACCGTTGTTGCAGTTTGAGTGCAGATTCGCTATCTCCAAAATCTGAGTCGTTAGGTAGAAAACTGTGTCCTGGGAGAAGATACCTCAATGTAATTTGTTCAAGAGTAGGGTGACTTTCCAAAACTATTTTCATTAATTATATAATCTTGATGTTGCGGTTTTGGCCACCACATGGGTCAGACCAAAGGATTTCTTGGAAGTCACATTTTCTTTAATGTGTTTTCTAAGGCAGCTGCCAACTTCTTGAGCACCCCTACCTGCTTCTCCTTCAATCCAAACATAGCAATGTCCTTTGTTTGTTTGTCCACTGTGTATGATTAAGTTGTACAGACACAACTGCCGTTTATAATAGACTATATTAGTCGGGATTCTAGGAAGAGACAGAGTTTTCTCTAGATCAAAACATAGAGTTTCTGTATCAAGCTGATTCTTAGCTGCAAGCATGTTTTCTTTTCTTTTATTTTGTGCTTTTTCTGCTGTTTCCAAATTTAAATCTTTTTCGTTTCTTAAAATCCGTAGTTTATCATTATCCACACAATGTTTTATTTCATTTTCTAAACGATCACACACATTACAAGTATCTTTCTTAAGTTTTTTCCTGTGAAGGTTAAATTTTGTCAAAAAAATTTGTTTATATAAAGAAAAACTCACTGGATTTCTCAATTCTTCGGAGTACAACTCATACATTTTTGCAACAGTTGTTTCTTCTGTATGAAATTCTGCTTCTGTGATTGATCGTCTGTAATGGGACTTGTATTTGGGAAATTTGTGAATATGGTCCATAACTTCCTGAAGTCGAATGGGATCAGTCTTATTTTTACCACCACTTTTGCCCCGATAGTCACGAACTCCTTCTGGTCGCTTCTTGTTTTTCAAAGCTGAATCAACTTTACAACTTGATATTCTTAGCGTTTGTAAAAAGAAATTTTTACAAACAGTTTTGCCACATAATTTATACACTCTACTAAATTTTCTAGAAATTGAGACTTTTACTCGTTTTCTTTTGATTTCGACTTCTTGGACATACGAACATAGTAATGCGCGCTGGGCATCATATGATTGAAAATTATAAAATTTATTAAATTCGTTTAGAGCATTTTCTTCTCCGATAATTTCCAAACATTTGCAAGGACAGATATTATAATAACGAAATTTTTTACATTTTTTTAATGTATTCTTTTGTGTAAAATAATCTTTGTTTTGTATACAAAGCTTTTTCTTTATTTCTCTGTTTTGGTTGGCATGTTTTCTTTTCCTACCCTTTTTTGGTCTACTCTTGGGAGAGTGTTTTTCATTTAAAACAGAAATAATATTTTCAACAACATTATTTGAAGATGGCAATGTTTCCTTATTTACATTTGCTGACATGCTGTCTATAGCCTGGTTCATAGCCTGGTCATTATCATTAGAAGCCATGTCATTGAGGTCTTTAACAAAATTACTGACTTGATCAGCATCACTTAAATTATAATTAATATTTTCAAAGTTTAAACAGTACGTTTCTTCATTTACATTTTCTAACATGCCGTCTAAAAACTGATGATTGGCAGCCCTGCCTTTATCAACAACATTTTTAAGATTGTCATCATTCGATTCGTGTTCCGAGATATCATGATACTCTACACTCACATTGATTTGATCAGTATTAAGATCACAAGGCACTAAATTTTTATTTCAAAAATGTTCTTGAAGTTCATTTGGTAACAAAGTATCTGTGTTAAAATAATTTGAGGTGGTAGAAATGTCCAACGTACCTTGAGATAGCGATTTAAAACTTACAGGTAGCAATTCACATAAATCCTTAGTATTTAAAGCAGCGAATGTAGCAATATCTGCCGTTAAGAATGTGGGCGTGGTATCTAGTACAGAAGTTGTGGTTAGTTCCTCAGTATGTGTATCTTGTTCATTTTCCTAAAAATACAGCATATGTAGCTGATAGAAATAAAGAATATTCCGATCCATTATAGAATTTACATTTGCAAAATCTCTAACAAACTGATTCTGTTATAATACATAGTCTAAAATGAATTTTAAGGTTAATCTAGAAACTGATCTATAGTTTCTTACCTGTAAAGATGCTGCTTTGTTGTTTAAACAAAGTGCAACCATTTTTTCTGTTCTCAACTGAAACCTGCTCATATTTGAAGATAATTCCACAATTTAAAAGTTCAGTAACAGATAATACACAATAACGAATAAGAATACAGTTAAAATACTTTGATTTGCGTACACAATATTATAATACTTGCTTGAGTATTAAACAAATTTAATGTTATTCTAACCAGACAGCTTAGTTTGGCATAACCAGACCAAAGACGCTTAGTCGGCGCTCAGTCTATTATTGCAAAACTAAGAATGGCAGTTAAGAATATAGTCTTGTTATGCAAAACAAAAACCCTTCATAGACAGAATGTCGCTTGGTTTAACTTTGTATATTTTAGCGACCGTTAACGTGATAATAACAGGGATTTTTTTCCAAGATAGTTTTAGCTATGCGTCACCCGAATCTGTTGAAATCTCGATTTTAAAGAAATGGCGCTTGGTCGAGTTATGCATAACGCCGTCCAGGTAAGCGAGATGGGGCGGTAAGAAGTGGACTTATCTTTAGGTTTATTTGGCTTGATGATGGGAATTATTACAGCCTGGGACCAAAGATCAGGAAATTTATGTTTTAGATAACAATTATCACATAAATCTAGTAAAACTAGTTTAGCTGTAAATGGCAAGTTTTTTATAAATATTGAAGGTATGTCATCTGGTCCAGGGGAGGCGTTTTTTAAATCAGAAATAGCAAATTCTAATTCTTAGAGAGTTATAGCGATGTTTAAAGGATCATTGGTATCGTCAGGGAGTGGTTTGCTTGCACTTCCATACAATTGTTCCGAGCGGCAGCCTCCAGGGTCAAAATTGCCATGATGATAGCCAACCTTCGTAGCGGAGATGGCACGTGAAGAAGAAGAAGAAGGTATCGTTTATGGTGATAACAGAGGATTCTATAGTTTCCTTGTGCGTTAACATTTCCTGAGGTAGGTATATCATTATTGCTAGAATTTTGTTGATAAATATCAGCAAATGTTTCTGCAATAGCTTTGTGACAAGTAGTTAGTGTTTGACCATGAGTTAAGGAGTTTATTTGTCTAAAAGAGTTGGAACCTTTGAGTTTACGAATTTTAGACCAAATGACAGCTGAAAGGGTCGATGAATTTATATAAGAGATATGATTTTCTTATGTATTTTTTTATGAGATATCTCGATCTTGCTCTAAATTTTTTAAAATTAAGTAAATTTTCTTCCGTATTATTCTTTTTAAGTTTATTAAACGCACGTTTTGTTATAGATAAAGCTAGTGCGATTTCGCAGGTCCACCAAGGCACTGATTGTCTTTTACAGAGTTTAGTTTTACCGATATTATTTAAGGCAGCTTCTGTTATGATATTATTTAAGGACATAATGTCAGAGTTTATGTCACTGCTTAATTGGAAATTTTCAATTTTTTTTTTTTGGATGTCGATCTGTTAGGAGTTCCCAGTTTGCATTCTTAATTTTCCAAGATTGATATATTGGGAATTTAGGAACTTGAGATTTATTAAGTGTTACATGAATGGGGAAATGATCACTGTCATGTAGTAATTCTAAAGTATTCCATAAGAGATAAGTTGACAATAATTGGCTACATAATGTCAAATCTATGGCGGAAAATGAGCCGTTGTAAGAGTTAAATCGGGTCGATTTTCCATTATTAAGTAGTATTAGGTCCGAGGAATTAATAAATTATTTAATAAATTACCGAATTTGTCAGTTTTTATGACTTCCCCATGCCGGATAATAGCAATTCATATCACCTAAAATTATTTTTGGGTTTGGAATTTTATCTATAAGATTTCTAAATTCTTGTAAATCGAGATCGTTTGGATGAGGCAGATATATATTGCAAATTTTAATATGTTTTTGGTAAGTAACTGTTACAGCTACAGCTTCAAGGCTAGTACTTAATGCAATTGGTTTAGCTTATATATCTGTTCTAGTGAAGATAGCTACAGCGCCACTGGCTTGGTGTGCGTTTCTATTTTTTAGAAAACATTTCAGACAGAGATAGTTCATTTATTAAAAGTTTTAATTGTTCAATATGGATGTAAAACCCATTAAGGTTCCACTGTACAATAAAAGAATCTGACATTAGATTTCCGAATGGGATTGCGGTTCATCGGACTCTTCAATTGAAGATGTTTTATTGGGGTTTAGTTTTTTATTTAAACGGGTAATGTTGTTTTTTAGTTTTGAATTGTGGATATAACAATAGACGAAGTTAAGAA